TTTGGAAACCATCTTGGTTACACAAAACTTATTTTTCACATAAATGGCAACGCCATCACCTTTTTTAGGACGGTCGGTACGATATACACTATAACCAGGGGTGCACATAACTTTTTTGCCCTGGTTCTCAAAGGAGCACCTGGAGATGTTGCTTGGTGCTCATCCTTAAAATGAAATAAACCGTAACTTTTGAGGGGGTCTTCACTTTATTTGCCAGACACACGGCACTGAACACGTGAGGTGAACACAGAACACACATGCAGAGGTGAACACAAGACAACATTAGCACGACCAGTAATCCTACAAGCTGTCATCACTACCCTCCTGACTGTTCTCCTCACTGTTCTCCTCACTGTCTTCCTCTCTGTCAGACATGGTAGCTGATGATGTAGGCCTACTACTTTATCTCTGGTTGAGTCTGCGATTAGCTGCTGGTTTTGGGCCGAAAGTCTCTGTCATCTTAGAAAAGTGGATGTAATCAAATAAGTATGTGAACATAACCAATAACCTACCATAGCCAATAACAAATTAATGTAACTTATTTTATTTATGTTGTTCATTCATATTCATATATTCATATATAGTATACATTGGAATGATTTCAAACCTGTTTATCCCAATAATTATAAAGGAGTGCCTTGGAAATATGTGTTTACATAAATTGTGACCAAACCGTTTGAACTTAGACTAAAGTTAACTATCTAAACACTCAGAGTCCTTTACCTCACTGAGCTGTAGTTATCAGCCTCTCAGTCTGACTGGAGAGGACTCTCCCTCCACATTATTGTAGAAACATCTTCTTCTTATATCCGTTAAAGCAGCTAGCACCAGATTCTAATAACAACAGCGCCGGTACCGGTGGTGCACCCTCCCTCTCTCCCTCGCTCACTCGCATTTTGGCTGTGAGCTGCGGGCGCCAGATAAGCCAACATCCCCCATTTTCATCATTTACAGCGCCCATCGTACAGGGCAAATAAAACGTGTAACCAGGGTGAAAAGGGTGTTACATTTACTTAATTATTAATATCGTTACATCAAGGCCGAAAATTAGGATGAGCACCAACGGTCAAAAATGTTTTTTTCCCTCCCAGAGCTGCCAGCGCAGCGCCTCCCCAGATCTGGCGCCCTAGGCGAACATCTATTACGCCAGTGCTACGGGCCAGCCCTGAGTTCATATCTATCTATCTATCTATCTATCTATCTATCTATCTATCTATCTATCTATCTATCTATCTATCTCTCTATCTCTCTATCTCTCTCTCTCTCTCTCTCTCTCTCTCTCTCTCTCTCTCTCTCTCTCTCTCTCTCTCTCTCTCTCTCTCTCTCTCTCTCTCTCTCTCTCTCTCTCTCAAATGACACGGTGCTCTTTTTTTGGCCGAGGTGCGCACCTGCGCACCAGTTATGTGCAGCCCTGACTATAACCATTTAAGTAGATGTCAGAGGCCAAAATAGATTTATCTAGCCACGTTTCTGATAAGACAATGACATCAGCATCAGTCGAGCTCGCCCAAATGCGGACAAAATCTAACTTGGGTAACAGACTGCACACATTTAAGTGAATGAATCCCAACCCAGATCTAGAATTAAAATCAGCAGGAGTAGCTATCTGACTACTACTGCTACTGGGCGGTCCAGGGTTTAGTTGTACATTCCCTGATAGTAATAATAGCAAAAAAAAACAAGCACCTTTTCCTCTTAACCGACACACATGCATTGTCATCTGCTTTAAAGTCACCAGTAAACTCCGCGAAAGTGAGATTAGAGCTCAAGAAGCAGTCCTGAAGAACCATCATAGCAGGCAAGTGAGAAAGACAAACATTTGTCGAACTGAATGTTTGTGACAAGGCAACCAGTAATTGTTTGTGTAACACATCCGAACCTTTACAGGGGATGTCCACTGCGGGCGGTAGAACAGACTTGAATCCAGTCGACTTCTCAGGATGACGAGAGAACTTCTCATTGTCCAAAATAGCTATAATCACGATATGGGCCATTTTCCCAGATCAGCACAGCATCCGGATCAACACATCCTCACTCCCAGGTCGGCCTATGTTGACGTTATGTCAAGTTCCCTGTCGGCTTTTTCCAACGCAAGGGGGGGGGGGCCTTAGCGTCCATTTTCAACGCAAGGGGCGGGGCCTTAGCGTCCATTTTCAGCTTTCCGGGATGTCCATATGCTTCTATAGACGCTCATGGAAGCACGGCATTCGTTTGTGTCGGCTGCCCTTAAAGGCAATGTGAGCGTCCATTCTCATTGGATAACGGAGAATTGTACACCCGGAAGTAAGTATTCCCCTTACTGTCGATTGATTTTACAGTGATATCTGCACTACTCATCGACTAAAAAACACCAGATTATCCTTGTTAATTACACAACATTGATTGGTTTAAATTGTGTGCAATGCTTTTGTATTTTTCCCCTTCGATTCGGAGAAACAAATATGTTTTCGGAGTAAAGGATGGCAGAAGACACTACACTACCCAGAATCCCCAGCTATCGTTTGGACTACACCATGTGCTCTGTTTGACGTCACGTGATCTTCAAATTTCTCCCTGAAGAAAAAAAAAATATGGCCGAACTTCGTTTTATTCTCGATGGAAAATGCCTATTTTAAAGTTAGTTTGGCCATTAAAATGCGTTTTGATGTCATTTGATGCGAGAAATATGAGTTGTTATTTCAGATTATGTGTGCAGTGGATGTACATGATCTTTAGTTTGCTAGTTATTACGAAGATTACTTCAGGAAATTGCGTCCATAACGTTTTCATTGTTACCAAGGTGGTTGCTAGGGACGCTGCTATCGATATTATTTCTGTTATGTTGTTTAACTGTTTAATGGTGTTATCTTTATTGCTACCCCCTTCCCCGTCAATGTATAGTGTTGGTCCACAGCGAAAACATATTAGTTTAACAAAATCCGCATCTAAAGATAGCCTACGTTATTTTCCCCTGTGCAATTCCAGTCTCACATCTCACAGCACATCGTCATGAACAAATAACGGAAACAGACCGAAAACATTGAAAAAAAATACAATAATACTTTATTCCGAGTGTGCTTGCTTTTCTCTTTGGAAGTCATCACATAACGGCATTGTAATACACGGTTCGGCTGCATTAAATATTACATATCTGCCGTAGTTCTGTATTTATAGAGCCCTGATGAGAAGACTTCTAGACAAACATGAGGAACTGAAAACGTGACGTGGATCATAAATATATCAGCCATTAAACAACATCTTACATTTCTTTTCACACAATACGTCTCCTTGCAGTATCAACACTAATTCGGCTGACTTTTATATTTGATCCAATTGGTAGATAGGCTGTATTTACACCATAAAGGTGCACAGCTGATATAAAGGGACACCTAGTGGTTAAAGCATGTTATTGAATTTCATTATTTGTATCATTAGATATTAATAGGATCCCTATAAAGTATATTAATTACTCGTTATTCTCTACTAATAGTTCATTAAAGACTGTATATAATGACTATTTTGCACATCCCTTTCAAGATTTCAAGATTTTCTAAGGTTTATTGACATATCATATAGGCCTACACAACTATGGTGTAGTTATGCATTGAATGAAAAACTTGGGTCGCAGGTTCCTCAATAGTGCATTACAAGACATCTATCAATATTTGTGCGTACCTCCAGCAATGTTAACTATGTTGAAGCACTTATTTTAACTGATATTATACATAATGTATTATACTCTTATAAGATGTATGTAGATATTTCATCTCCGACCTTGTCAGGTATTGAACAATCAATAAATAAAGAACACAGAATTGTTGAATATAAAACACAGAATTTGTGTGATTATACTAAATGATTTACAAATAAACACCACTGCATATTTAACTGTTACACATGCTGATGTAACGCAAATGTTCCAACTTGAGATCAATAAAGTATATCTTATCTTAAGCTGATCGATGGCTATACTGCCATATTTGCAAAATGTGCCTCTGAACCTTAACAAGTGCATGTTTCAGGCTTATCAATTAATGTAATGTAATGTAATGTTATCAATTAACAACAGGGGTCACAAACATAAGACCAGCTGTTAAATAAAGCTCTTCTGACCTTAGCTGGCATGTGTGTATATATATATTAATGCTGCCCATTATGGGCACAAGCAATTTTCACCCATTTATTAATTATATGTTTTAAATGTGAGTGTTTCCTATCCCCTAAACCTCCAGGGATGTACACAGTTTAATACTGGCAACTTCTTATTATGGGAAATACGAAAACGTCTTTTAAAACTACAACTCCCAGTAGAGACGTGCCATAGATACAGAACATGTTGCGAAACAGAATAGCCAGCATTTGTAGTTCTGGGGACAGGGTGGGGGAGGGGGGACGCGGTGGACCCGTTCAAATCCAGTTTTGGACAGTCTGCGTGGTTCCATCCCATTTCAAGTGCTGTTCGAGGCTCGGCGTAACCCTCGGAGCACACTCTCCAATCACAGAGCTTGAGGACTATCACGGGGTTTGTCAAACAGAGCACATGGTGTAGTCCAAACGATAGCTGGGGATTCTGGGTAGTGTAGTGTCTTCTGCCATCCTTTACTCAGAAAAAACATTTGTTTCTCCGAATCGAAGGGGAAAAATACAAAAGCATTGCACACAATTTAAACCAATCAATGTTGTGTAATTAACAAGGATAATCTGGTGTTTTTTTAGTCGATGAGTAGTGCAGATATCACTGTAAAATCAATCGACAGTAAGGGGAATACTTACTTCCGAGTGTACAATTCTCCGTTATCCAATGAGAATGGACGCTCACATTGCCTTTAAGGGCAGCCGACACAAACGAATGCCGTGCTTCCATGAGCGTCTATAGAAGCATATGGACATCCCGGAAAGCTGAAAATGGACGCTAAGGGCCCCCCCCCTTGCGTTGAAAATGGACGCTAAGGCCCCCCTCCCTTGCGTTGGAAAAAGCCGACAGGGAACTTGACATAACGTCAACATAGGCCGACCTGGGAGTGAGGATGTGTTGTCCTGATAGGCGCGCAAGCAGGCCCGAAACGTGGAGGCGCTCCGGTCTCTTCACGATATCCCCGGTGCAGAACCTCCTCAGTACAGCAGAATAGGTGAAGCAGGCCCAGCTCGAGGCGTAGAGGTGCTCCGGTCTCTCCGCGATGTCCCCGGTGAAGATCCTCCTCAGCAAAGCAGTACAGGATAGGTGAAGCAGGTCCAGCCCGAAACGTAGAGGCGCTCCGGTCTCTCCGCGATATGCCCGTGGTAAAACCTCCTCGGCAACGTAGAGCACGACAGGTGGAGCAGGTGGATACAGGCCTCCGCTACAGCAGGTTTAAAGCAGGCCGCAGCCCGAACGTGAAGCCGCTCCGGTCTCTCCGTTACATCCCCGTCCCCGGGGCAAAATCTCGCCAGGACAGCAGCACACGACAAGTGGAAGCAGGTCCCCGCCACAGCACAACTGGACAGGTGGAAAAGGAGGCCCCAGCCCGAGCAACAACGTGCAGCCGCACCGTCTCTCCGCGACTTCCCGGGGAAAAAAAAAAAAAAAAAAAACCTCCCCACAACAGCACAGGTAAACCTCCTCTCCACGCCGACGGAAGAGAGGCAGCCCTGCCCCTCACTTTCCACGCTCCGTGAGGCGGATGAGAAAATGCGCTCCGCTCGCTCTGATCGACGAGTGTTGAGTGTGGAATGCTGTGTGGTACACAAATACAAATTTGCTTTAAGTTACGGAGTGCCAACTTGCTCATGCCTTGTACTTACTGTATTTGCAAAAAAACAGAAATAAATACACTCTTAACTTGTTGCAGGATGTTAACTCATAAAAAACATTAATGGATAGATTAATGGTTTGCATGTTATCATCAACAGTGATATTAAAGTATAACTGAGGCAGATTGGCACTTTGACAGGAGTTTTATAGGAATCCTGTAATGAACAAATGTGTAGCAATAAGTTGAAACCTTGTTCAGTTGGTGGATGCCCAATGAAGTCGGGGGATCAAAAAGTCATTTTTAATCATCCTCTTAGGAGCATAAACGTCTGTAACTAATGTCATGCCTAAACAAACTAAGATGGCGCCGCAGATGGCTGCTTCGGTGTTTTGGTGCGCCAAACTCTTTCACCAGGGAAGAGCTCCTAAACATTAGAGAAAGAACTTCAGCGGATTATCTTCCCACTTTTCTCTGCTTTTCCGTGGAATTATTGGACATTCTTGTCAATGGTACCCTCACGTGTATTCAAGCACTGAAACGCCACAGGAGAGGGAGACGGGCCGGGGCACTCGTGCGCCTCCGGAGCCGCGGACTTCGCACGCCGCTACCCGGAATATTCCTCTCCAACGTGCGTTCCATAAGCAATAAACTGGACGAGCTTCAGCTACTGGTTAGTAGAAACAGAGACTTTTCTTCATCTTGTGTTTTGTGCTTCACTGAGACCTGGCTGTGTGGATCAATTCCAGGACTTGGCGCTGCAGCTGGGAGGCTTCCAGCTGTTCAGAGCGGATCATGACATGGAGCTCTAATCAAAAGGTGAAGGAATATGTTTTTACACAAACAGTGGCTGGTGCAACGATGTGACAGTGATTCTGCAGCACTGTTCTCCCACTCTGGAAACTTTTATCATCAACTGCAAACCATTTTATTCCCCACGCAAGTTTTCTTCATTCATACTGGTCGGTGTCCCTCACTTCCATTTCGCTTCTCATTCACTGATTCGCTAAGCTGAACAGCCAATCAGAGTGATTTCTTTGGTCGACAGCCTACCGATTCAACATGTCGAATCGGCGGCGGAAGGTGTCGGCACGGCCGAAAAGACACAACGGTGCAGTACACACCAATCTGAGTAGGGCGACACGACGCTCATCGACGGCTCGACATCTATCGACATCTATTGACGCCGAAAATCGGCTTGGTGTGTGAGGACCTTTAGACAGATCACAAACTACAAGCCAAAAGCCTCCCTCTCCATGAACGACCGACGCCTAGCAAACGATCTGAATCAGTTCTACTGTAGATTTGAAGACAAAGAGTTCAGTCCTGACACCATCCCCCATTACACCTCCCAACAGCTTCAGTCTCACACCTCCACGTCCCCCTCCCCTTCAGACCCCATTTACACGGGAACGTTTGCGTTTATGCACCGTATGCTTTTTCAAAAAAGTCTTCCGTTCACACGCATTCGATTCACGTGTTCTCCTGCTGTATATCTCTCCGGTAGTCCACCAACAGATGAAAAACACCCACCTCTCTACCTCTTCCAAGGGACGAGGGAACCATGTGGCAGAGTTTCCGTTAACATTTTCTTTCGCCGGTCAACATGTCCGTTAAAGTTTAAATCTTCCGTACAAAACTAGAAAAGTGCCGGTCAGATGTCTTCTTTGTTATTTATTGAGCTTTAAAACAAATTGATAAAGACTCTGTATAATAATATAAGAATAATAAACGGAGCCTCTCTTTTCCTCCCCCTCTTCTGACAGCCCAGCAGCTGATCTCTGAGCAGGAGACGTGGGGAGAGGGAGATGTGAGGAGAGGGAGACGGGGCTATTTCATCGTTATCAGAAAATGATCGTATAGAGGTGATTACACGGAGCCGTTTGACCCCCCAGAGAGTTCCGTTTGCAGATCTATCCATCTTGGGACCCGTTATCGTTTGCGGGGTCCGTTTCTATCGTTTTGCTATGGCCTCGTGTAAACGAAAGGGCTATACGCAAGAGAAACTATGCGGATACAACCCGTTTCATCCTCGTGTAAACGGGGTCTCAGTGTCCCGCTCTCCCACACCACTGACCTCCCCCGACACATCAAATTCTCTCTCAATTAATGAAAGGGATGTAAACAGACTTTTCAAAAAACGTAATAGTAGAAAAGCGGCTTGCCCTAACAATGTCTCCCCCTCCACCCTGATGCTGATCAGCTGTCTCCTGTGTTACTGACATCTGTAACACCTCCCTGGAGACATGCCACGTCCCAGCATGCTTCAAAACCTCCACCATCATCCCGGTTCCCAAAAAAACGAGGCGCTTTCACACCGCAGTACTTTTCCCACAAAGGTTCATCAGAACTTAATTCATGAGAACTCTTTAGTTCTCATGAACTAAGTACAGATCGCGTTCACACCGGAATAAGTCCCTGAGGGAGGATTAGGCAAATTAAGCCGCTGACGTCACTTCTTCTTCTGCTTTGGGTTTACTGGCAGGCCGCAAACAACTTCACGGCGTATACTGCCGCCCAAAGTCCCCGGCCCGAAGTCCCCGGAGTTGGGGACTGGCTTCAGTAGAAGCTGGTGGGACTCCCAGCAGCTTCTACTGAAGCCTTCCGAGTAAATCGCCAGAACGCCGACACCTCCTAATCTCCACCGCTCCCATGTTTTCTTTTGTGTTGCCATAAATTAGTCTCTCTGCCTTTGTGCGCTGGGCTAATGCTAATGCTAATAATGCTAATGCAAGGATAATAAAATGGCGGCTTCACAAAACTTTTTGGGAGTTTTACGGGGCGTGGTTTGCAATCCGCCAAGCCAATCAGAAATAGGAACCTTTTTCTCCCACGAAAGTCCCTGCTCTCTAGCAGGGACGGAAAAGGGGGTAAAAAGTTTCTCATTAACACATTTTAGTTCCGGATTCTTTTGGTGTGAACACAACATTTCGGAACTATATCGGAACTAAAGTGGGAAAAGTACTGCGGTGTGAAAGCGCCTATTGATCACAGGATTAAATGACTATAGACCCGTCGCCCTGACCTCTGTGGTTATGAAGTCCTTTGAGCGCCTTGTCCTGTCCCACCTAAAATCCATTACAGACCCACTCCTGGATCCCCTGCAGTTCGCCTACAGAGCCAACAGGTCTGTGGACGACGCTGTCAACATGGCCCTTCACTTCCCCCCCCCAGCACCTGGACACAGCAGGAACCTACGCCATCTTCAACACCATCATCCCGGTTCTGCTGCAGGACAAGCTCTCCCAGCTGCACGTGCCCGACTCCACCTGCAGGTGGATCACAGACTTCCTGTCTGACAGGAAGCAGCAAGTGAGGCTGGGGAAACATGTCTCTGACCCCCGGACCATCAGCACCGGTTCCCCTCAAGGCTGCGTTATTTCCCCTCTGCTCTTCTCCCTGTACACCAACAGCTGCACCTCCAGTCACCAGTCTGTCAAGCTACTTAAGTTCAGACGACACCACCCTCATCGGACTCATCTCTGGTGGGGACGAGTCTGCCTACAGGTGGTAGATGGACCATCTGGTGACCTGGTGTGAGGAAAACCACCTGGAGCTCAACGCCCTGAAGACAGTTGAGATAGTTGTGGACTTCAGGAAGAACGCAGCCCCACCCGCCCCCATCACTCTGTGTGACTCCCCAGTAACTGCTGTGGAGTCTTTCCGCTTCCTGGGCACCATCATCGCCCAGGACCTCAAATGGGAGCAGAACATCTGCTCCCTCATCAAAAAAGCACAGCAGAGGATGTTCTTCCTGAGGCAGCTGAAGAAATTCAACCTGCCAAAGACAATGATGGTGAACTTCTACACTTCCATCATCGATTCCATCCTCACCTCCTCCATCACCATCTGGTATGCCACAGCCAAGGATAAGGGCAGGCTGCAGTGTGTCATCCGCTCTGCAGAGAAGGTGATCGGCTGCAATCTGCCATCCCTCCACAACCTGCACGCCTCCAGAACCCTGAGGCGGGCAGGGAAGATAGTGGCCGACCCCTCCCACCCTGGACACAAACTGTTCAAACCCCCTCCCCTCTGGCAGGAGGCTGCGCTCCATCAGGACCAAAACCTCTCGCCACCTGAACAGCTTCTTCCCCTCCGCTACCGGCCTCTTAAACAATGCCCGGCCCCCCCACTGACACTTACCACAGCCACAACGTAGTCTCTATATGCATTACATTAATGCACACAATGTTCATACTGCTTACTGCACATATTTCTTGTTTCATATTTCATATTTTATATCCTATAATTCATTCATAGTATTTCCATGTAAATGACTGATTTATTTTATTGCTATTTAACTATATTTTATTACGGTGTCCTTAAAGATTTTTTGTTTTATATTAGATTTCTTGTTTTATATTTTATGTCTGCATCATGACATCAAGTCAAATTCCTCGTATGTGTGAACCTACCTGGCAATAAACCTGTTTCTGATTTCTGATTCTGATGCCAATTCAACTAATAGATGTCCAATGGTTGTTGGTTGAATATTGGATTGGAGCCACGTTTGCAATTGTGCATAAAAAGAAACATTAATTATATTTTCAAAGCCATTAAATAAACAAATGTGACATTTTTATGATCACAGCCACACCTCTAAGTTGCTTGAAAGGCGTGTGTTGAAGCTAAGCCAAAAATGTTTGGGTTTTGCATATTTTTTACAACAACATCAGTAGATGTTAAAGGATCTCTGGGAGTTTCTCTGTTATCAAACTTTATTAAAGAAAAATATAGAACAAACATTTTTAAAAAACAACGTTTTGTCAAGTAGAGCTGATCTTTTGCAGGGGTAGACATTAAGGGTAAAATGCCACTGGCCCTCCGGGCCGGTGGAATTGAATTATCACTGGCCCCACCATTGTAACCACTGGCCCGGAGCATTCGTCCAAAAAAAAAAATCTACTTATAATGAAGAAAATTAACACATTTGTTGCAATAGTAATTTATGCACTAACTACATACTACTTGTACTACACCATTTGAATCATCAGTTCTTCCTCATTTTCCTCAATTGTTCATATTTGGTTTATTAAAATAATGATATTGTGGTCATTGTTAAAAAATGTCTGCTATTATTATAAGTATTATTATTTGTATAATGCGCTTTCTGCCTTCCTGTCATTAGGAGTTAGAAATGTAATGGCTATGTAATAGATTAGATTAGAACCTTCATTATCCTAAACTGCTGGGACATTTCCCGATAGCCAATACCTTTTATATTTTCTACTCTTCACTCACTTGTCAGCATAGGTCGGCATTGATGTACAGAGCCAACAAAAGACCTTGTTTATATTGGCATCATATTGAGAGGTGCAGTGACGCGTCCTAAAACCAGGAAGTAAGCTGCTGGTTCCCTCGACAAAAAGCAATGGGATTTCTCCACAGGGTTTTGGAAAATAGCTGGAAATAAGGTCTGTGGAAAACGAACCTGTTTGATAAATGCACGTTTTGTTCAGCCGGATAATCTCCACATGTCTACCCTACTTTTATAATTTTCGAATCATAAATCTAATCGATAGATTATAAAAGGGTTTTAGGACGCGTCACTGCACCACTCTATAGAAGCCAACTCCATTGATCAAGCTGGCTGAAACTTTCTCTCCCTCTTCTTCTCATGCTCCCTGTCACTCTCCTTTAACTTCTCCGGTGACTTTCTTTTATTTGAAGATTGTTTTTTGCCCGGCGCTTGGCTGGTTACCGCTGGTATTAAAAACATTTTTGGCGAATGGTTAGGTAGTGCGATAGTCTGTAGTGAAGGAGCGCGCTCACGGGAGCCTGCTCGCGCTGCGCTCCGCAGCAAACAGCGGTTTGTTTTTCACCCAACAACGATAACCGCCTCACAAAACTCTATGTTGTAGCATTAATAAACTAAACAATTTAACAAAATTGCAAGTCAAAATACCAATACCACAGGACAATTCTTTTTTTTAAAGCAATATTTTTAGTGGCCCGAGCGGGCAAGTGGAAAGTACGTTATGCTGGCCCGGGGTGTCTAAATAGTGCTTCCGGGCCAGCGGGCCATTTATAATGTCGAGCCCTGAAATGTTGTATTCCCGTCTCTTGTCAAAAACGACATCAATATTTACACATTCAAGCTACCACAGGCAGCAGTGCATCCTATTAGCACTGTGAAGTAAATATCAGTGCCCCCGTCATGCTCAGTTTAGACACAGACAAGATTGGAATATGCAGCACCAATTATAAACCTGCATGTATATCCAACCCATCACCGCTGAAACTGCCTGAAGCCCTGTCTCAATGCCTCTCTTTTCTGAAGGTTACACCGTGTCCAAGTCGACACGCTGAAGCCGCCATTAACACAGCTCCCTGTAAAAACATGGAGCCATCCTGCACATTTCCATCATTAGCCGTACCTCCTCTGTGCCTCCCTGCCCCCACTCTTCAACAAAAATCAATAGCATCTGCTGCCGCACAGCTAAGCCTGCTTCACTGCTGATGGGGACAAACAGTGGGTGAGCTAAATTGATTAAGCATCCAGCTATTTTTAAAGATGATGATTTCCAAGTTTGTCATCATTGATGAAACAGTAAAATACGAGCCTTGACTTCTTTCATGTCCTGATGGTTCATATAAATGAACAAAGAAATCATCTGCTATAATAATGTGATAAAATAAACATGAACATGTTATCCATGCCTACCACAGCTTTTGAGATAATGATGAAAGGGCTTCGACACACTGTGTCTGTGCAGAGATCATTTTGTCACATACCTACAGTAGCTTGTGGGTAATTAAACTGTGACACAGAATGCTGCTAAGCTAACAAACACTGCATAAGAGAGCTAATTGCTTGTCTTGGTATATTTGCAGTAATTATTAACCCCACCCATCTCCATAGCCACCCATGCACTTTTGAAATGTTAGCCTCTTTAAGTATTATCATAACTCACATGACAGCAAACAGTTAATCAGGAAAGGGCTTCACTTCCTTCACCCTGGGCTCCCTTCCCCCAGCTGCCTCAGTTTATTTGCACTGCATCTGTTTAAAGTGTGTCTTTGCCTGAACAACAGAGGGTTGCACTGGGGGAGGAAGTGTTTGTTCATCCACATTTATCTTCAAATAACTACTATAGATTTCCTTGAATTGTTGTAGGTTGCCTTAATGTTAATGACGGAATATATATATATATATTAATGCTGTCAAAATTATCGCGTTAACGGCGGTAATTACATTTTTTGAATTAATTGCATTAAAATATCCCTTTCATGCATAGAGGTCACTACAGTGGACAGCTATTCAAAAGGTGTTTTCTTGTATATGCATTGTTTTTTTGTTGCATAGTTGCACAATCAGCCACTACATAGGACCCTATTGCATCATCCCATACTCTGCTACTCAGTGCCAAGTCAGTGTAAGTGCATGATACATGTCTCTAAACCAAGATGGACAACAGAAAGCCACATGGACCAAGTCACCCATCTATATCCTGCCAATCCTTTTATGGAAAGCGTCCCCTGCAGGTATAAAAAAGGTGGTGACATCAAGTAACAACTAAGGAATCATATAATTCATAAATTATCAAAGTATTGATGTTATGTTTGCAGGAAATCATGGTTAATCACCTGTCCACTACAGTGGACGTCATGCATCACTGGCTATATTTCAACTACAATTCATACTGGTACTGCTGCTGTTGTTCCCAGGGCCGTCCCTCAGGCAGATCATGCAGACTGTGTGGGGCCTCACCTTGTGGAGGGGGCCACACCTTGCGGAGGGGGGCCTCATCTGAGGCGCACCTATGTACTTATGTGGCGCAATTAGGGCGGCGCGGCACGGTTTCGCCGCTGCGAGGCTCCACTAGCACTCATCAAATAACTGTGCGTGGGGCCTCAAATTGGCCCCTGGCCCTGGTTATTCTTGAAAATACTTCATCTGCAATATCTATTTGGGCCGTAAATCAATATACTTATGTTATTATAATGTATTTTTAAGTTTGCACATCTTTATTTATCATTTTTTCAAAATGTACATCTCTTCAGTTCAAACCCTGAACGCATACCTGAGTGGACATATACAAATCTATTTGAAAAAACTAGATTAAAAAAAAAAAAGTTCAAATCTTGTTTTTCATGCACCAAGAGCAATAATAACACTTGGTTAAAAAATCCTTACTGAGGCTTTCATAATTCATGCATGAAAGGGTTACCGCATTTAACACATGTGCAGAATGACCCGCCCCATACATCCCACCAGTGGCAGCGCCAGGGTATGGCTGGGGTAGGCTACACCCATACCAAGAAATGGCTTAGCCCCACCATGAAAAATGATGTTAAAGTAAGCAAAATAAGGTCCGCCCAACTCGCGCCGAGAATTGCACAGACAGCAGTTAGTAAGATTGATTTCAGTAGCCACTTGTCTGGAAATACCGAAGACCAGAAACGGTTTTGAAAAACTTTTGTCACGTAGTGATCGTCTTCTCAATAGAACATCTTTGATAATGTCTTCTGGCCAATCAGAATCAAGATAACGGCGTGGTGTTGTTGCAGGAAGTCCCGACGGAGAATACTTTTGCTGTAGTACAGGTAACACATAACTGGTAGCCTACGCAGGTTATGTGCGTAATCTGAAATGCGTACCGTTACTTGCAGAGGTGGGACCAAGTCATTGTTTTGCAAGTCCGAGTCAAGTCTCAAGTCTTTGCGCTCAAGTCCAAGTCAAGTCTCAAGTCAGGATGGGCAAGTTCAAGTCCAAGTCCTAAACTTTGACAAAACGAGTCTTAAACAAGTCATTATGTGCTTTTCACCAAATGTAATGACATCGATCAACAGAATAATACTTAATTATCAAACTGCTCTTTATTAGTCACATTAATAATTTAATAATCCATTTTCTCTCTGCTGGTAAAGTAACGTGTGTTTTTCTAATTTAAGAGGGATCAGTAAGGTAAGGCTACCGTGACGGTTTGATTCAGAAGGAGTTTAATTGATAAGATCCCTGATGTTGAGGTAACCAGAATGTTTATTTCCACTGTGTACAACATGTTGTAAGGGACCCATAGTCTATCTTTATGCAAGGGATAATGTGCAGCGAGGTGGTCTCTATGGGGAAGAGAACACCTGCATCTAGATCCCTCTGCAGGTGGTACTTTAACTATGTTTTGATGCTAACACTTTTCTACTTTTACTTGTAACATTTTGAATGCAGGACTTTTTATTGTAGTGTTCCTGCAGGTTTCGCCAACTCAAATTTAAGACTTTTTAAGACCACTTTGAATAGAATTTAAGACCTATTTCACGGCAATAAAGTATGAAGGAAAATTGATATGAAAGAAGAAATACGTCCCATAATCACTTACAAAGTAAATGTATTCATGTTCAACATAAGAACAGTGACTGAACATAACAGCATAACAGTACAGAACTGTGTTAGCGTGTTAGACAAAAAGTGTGTATGTGTGTGTGTCTGTGTGTTAGGGCCGGCTGTGCAATTAATCATATTTTAATCGCAATTACGATTTTGGCCTGCCACAATTACGAAAACAACATAATCGAAAAAAACGATTATTTTGCTTTGCTAGGTTGTGACAGTGCACTACAACATATTTGATCTAATTAATTTTTTAGTAATGTATCATTTATTTAATTGATTTTTGTATTGGTTTTTCAGTTGAATTATATGTTCAGGGTAATCAGCAGTTAAAAAGATACTGTTCAAATTATTATTTGTTTTAAAGTTCAATAAATGGATGTTTTCAAAGTCAATGAATAATCGTATTTAATAATCATGATATTAATTATTGACCAACATAATCTTGATTATTGCCATAATCGAGCTGTGTGTGTGTGTGTGTGTGT